AAAAAAAAAAAAGTTAAAAAGTGAATTTGACATTATTGTTTCGTTCACAAAATATCTAGCAAAAGTCATGGATAGCGTCTATCAAGTATATTGCATTTAGGGGTACAGACTGCCAAGTGAGATGGAAATAATTTGCGTTTTCCTATCCAAATGTTACCATTTTCTGATTAGTTTGGTCTCTCTCTACTTCCTCTTACAATGTCTGGTTCATGTCTATTTTGTTTACCATTCCCACTTCATACCAAAAAGGTTATCAGTGAATGGATTTTCTTATTTACTTCTACATTGTGGATTGACATTCTTCTTGCTGTCGAGGAACCTCGTTTGGATTGAAGAATCTTGATTCATAGGGAGATTTGATGGAAAACTCAAATGCCATATAAACTTACAATTATACGAGGGTAACAAAATAGGTCAAAAAGTAGCTAATTATGGGTCTGGAAATTGTCATGTAATTAGTATTCAAAAATATCCTCAATAGATATGTTTGTAGGGACTTAAAGTCATTGATTTCAATTTCGTTAGTCCAAATGAGCCTGCGAGAATATTGGTACTTAGATATACTATGCATATCCATGAGTTGATATGTTTCGAATCATAACACTGAATATGTGATGGTCAGGCACCCAAAACATTGAGCACAGACTCTCCGCATTCATCTTATGGATCCTCCGAAGAAGGCTCTCCAAGTGGTAGTGTTACTGGACATTGGGAAAGCATTATTGAGAGCCTAAATCGGCTTCTGACTACATTGAAAAATAATTTTGTATGTATACCTGACTACATTATTGTTGTTCTGTGAGTCCTTTGCACTTTTATATCTGATAATAGTTGTTGTTTCAGGTTCCTCAAATCCTTGTACAAAATATCTTCACTCAAATTTTCTCTTATATGAACATCCAGCTCTTCAATAGGTATCTTATCTATTTCTTTCTTCGTGAGTGTTTGATCTTTGTAATTGGATTTTTCGTACGGTTTGTAAGCAATAGTTCATGTTCTCTCAGCCTCCTTCTCCACAAAGAATGTTGCACGTTTAACAATGGTGAATACATAAAAGCAGGGTTAGATAAATTAGAAGTTTGGTGTGGACACGAGCAAGAGGTATGTTATTGTTCATAGCTGGTTAAATAGTCATTATATGCCATCGTATTGGTAAAAGAAAATTGGCGTATTATCATATCGCATATTTTAGCTAGCATGCTATATGCAGATTAGTAACTGAGTAGCTTGATGTTGCTTACAGTGTGTAGGTCTATCATGGGATGAACTGAAACATGTACGCCAGGCTGTAGGACTTTTGGTATGCTCTTTTTCCTTATAATTATTAGAAGTACCTATGATAGATGTTTAGTAACTCAAAGCTTTTAAACTCAGTTTGGTTTTGAACCTGGTGTTCTGGAAATTCAGTCAACTATTTCTTCACATTTAGATGCTCAATCAGTTCTGCAGAAGATGAATGTATTCACACATATTGAGTTAATATGTAGCTTCCCATAAGTGTTGGAGTAAGTCTTGTAGTTGTTGTGCAGGTCATACATCAAAAAACACGAATAACCTATGATGATCTGACTACTGATCTTTGCCCAGTAAGTTCTCTCTCTCTCTCTCTCTCTCTCTCTCTCTCTCTCTCTCTCTCTCTCTCTCTGTGTGTGTGTGTGTGTGTGTGTGTTCGTTTGTCATTCTTTTTTTAGAATCAACTTCCAAGAGCATGTTACTTCATATGTCACCTGATTGGATATTTCTCATTTTTATTCTGTTGATATGAATATTTATGTCCACTGGATTTGATGAGTTCCCTTTGTGTTTATTCACAGATGCTAAGTGTTCAACAGCTTTATAGAATATGTACTCTCTATTGCGATGATAACTTTAATACACCAAGTGTAGCTCCAGAAGTAAGCTTTGCATCTTCTTTTTCACTCCTTGTGTTTTCATCATTACTTTCGTCACCATATTCTTTAATACTAATGCTCACACAATATAACTCATTTTCACACTCGTGTATTACTAGGTAATATCTAGCATGAAGGTACTTATGACAGACGAGTCGAATGACACTGATAGTATTATTTCGTATTTGTTGGATGACGATCCATGGTAACGTTCCAACATATGAGCTTTCTAAACAACTACAACAATTATAATAGTAATTAAATTAGTATAATAATAAATCCCTCTACTAATTATATATTTGTTTGTAATGCAGCATACCCTTCTCAATTGATGACTTTAGCAGTTCCCTCAGGCAATTAGATTTCACAAATGTGAAACCTGCGGTTGAACTTCTTGAAAACCCAGATTTTGAGTTTTTGCATGGATAACACTGAATGGTCGGTTTTTGGCAATCTTACCTTTGGGTTTCGGCAAACTGGCTGGTTCGGTTTCCTCCTAATGCCCCAATGTAAATCCATTAACCTTATTTATTCATTTCTTCTCGTGTCTCTTGCTAATATCCTCATCACCCCTTCTTACATGTATAATTTCTAGTTAGTAGTTGTAAAATTTATAGGTTTAGTCGAATAGAAGGGGCAAGGATGAACTCATTTTGTCTTCCGCCTATGCTAATCTTGATTCACGCTTAAGATTAAGTCTTAAGTTCATGACTCAGTAAGTTCTCTAACAGCTACTGATGGGAAATAGCTTTGGTGAGCAGATATAGGTTTGCCCAACAAACGAAATAAATGTTTATGTCAAACTTCTGATTCTTTATGTCTCTGGTGACAAAGAAAAAATAATAACAAAGGAAAAGATTCGGTTTTGATTCTGGTGTTCATTGCGCATGGGTCTCAATGGCTCTGCCTTTTGATACTCACTTCAGTATAGGCTCACAAAGATTACCTAATGGTGATGGATTTCTGAGCCATTTTAACAGTGTGATGTGGGAGAACAGGTTTTGTAATTCTCAGAGTCTGCTTGTTATGATTTTATGATTGTTTTTGTGTGTTATGCTCGTCAGGTATGAGGGCATCTTCATAATTATATCCATAGAGGATGTTGAATTTACAGTGTACCAGGATGCAATCTACTTTTTATGTATGTTAAAATTCATAGTTTGCTAACCGAGTCACAGTTTTGTTATGAAGCCAACAGTTGGCTTCAACAGTTTTGTTATGAAGCCAACATCTTCATAAGAGTTACTCTGAAGTAACTTTTACAAAGTACTGCCTTTTATTGCTACGTTTTCCTATGCACCACTCACCAGGCCAGGGATGCTTCTTTTTTTTTTTTTTCAAAGAAATAGCTATTTTCACCCGACACTAAAGACGACATAAGTTTTTCACATTGCCAAATAATAAGTTCGCTTTTTTCATCCCACAAAGTGCAAAACAATATATGTGATATATCATGCGGCAGACAAACGAAGATAATTGATAGAGTGAAATATTTATGTGAAAAGTTATGCGGCATACAAAGGAAGATAACTGATAAAGTGTTAAACAAATTATGCGATATATATTTGATAAAGTACGAAAAAAGTTATGCGATGAACTATGCAGCAAACAAACATAAATAATTGATAAACTGCGAAAAAGCTTATGTAATAAATTATCGACAACAAGGCGAAAATAATTGATAAAGTGCGGTACAAATTATTCGATAAACTATGAGACAGAAGGCGAAGATATTTGATAAATTTTGAAATGAAATATGTTTTTGGTAACGTGCGAAACAAATATTGTGCGATAAACTATGCGACAGAAAAGCGAAGATAAATGAAAAAGTGCAAAACATATTATGGGATAACCATGCGTAAAAAATGCAAAGATTGTTGAAAAAATGTGAAAAATATTATGCAATAACTTATGCGATAGAAAATCGAAGTTAATTGATAAAGTGTGAAACATATTAGATGAAAATTAATTGATAATGTGTGAAACATATTAGATGAAAATAAATGATAAAGTGCATAATAAATTATGCGATAAAACATGCGACTACCATAAGGTTATTAGTCAAGTGCGAATAATTTAGCAAGTGTGAAATAAATATGTGATAAACTATGCGGCAGAAAGCCAAAGATAATTAAGCAAATGTGTAAAGATTATGTGGTAACCTATGTGACATATAGGTGAAGTATTTATGCGGAGATCTGTGTGAACAATTCAGTCAATCGCGGGTCTACTGCATATAGTCACAGATCAATTTAATTTTTGCAATTTTTATTATTTTATTAATTTATTAGAATATTAGTCGAACTTTTTTACGCATAATTAACCGCAGATTAATTTATTCAAAGCTTATTTTGTTAAATTCATACTCTCCGATTATTACTTGACATCTTTTCTAACGCATATGTTTTGCATAATTATAGCTTATTATAAAAAAAAAAAGAAAAAGAAGTGGAAACGTTTTAGATACACTACTGTAGACAGCCAAAGAGATACATATATCGGACCACAGAATTAGTATATTTATTTCGTTATTGGAAATGCATCAAAACTGTGATCCACATTACCATTTATTTTATATTTCTATTAAAATATGAGATGATTAGACAAAACTTTTCACACATAATTAATCGCAAATAAATTTATTTAAAATTCATATTTGGTAAATTCGTACTCCGTGATTAATATTCGCAGTTATTATATAATACAAAAAAACGAAGATAATTGAGCAAACACATATTCAATATGCGATAAATTATGTCACAGACGTACGAAGATAGTTAAGCAAGTGCAACCATATTATGCGATAACTTATGCTACAGATTAGGCGATAATTATGCAAAGATTTGGTAAATAATTTTTTTTTGTATGCAAATGAACCTACGACATTTATGCGAATAAAAAGCGCATAATAACTTTTTAAAAATTCATGTTATGTGAGTAAACTAATAAATTCAAGACACAATTGCCATAAAATAAATAAAAAGAATGATTTCAATCATCATTATTTACATTTCATAATATTTAGTAATATACATATTAAGAAAAAAATATTATATATTAAAAAAATAAGTTATAAAATCTTGTGGACCAACTTAAGTTGGTCGATCTCCCATAGAATGAACGGATTTTTTACATCCTTTGTCATCTAATAAAAACAACTTCAAACATGTCGACGGTGATTGTCTTCAAGTCAATGGTATACCTCTGTTCCACGCCATTGTCGTTGAGGAACGTACGTCATCCCCTCTAAAAAATAATGTTGCCTAGGCTGAGAGCAGCAACGACTCTCTAGATCCTACCCTGACTATTTTCTAGCTGATACTCCATTATTTTTTTCCGGTGAAAAATATTCATCGGTGTTACGAGGCAGAACCTAGATTTGAATTTAACTTTTTGTCAGAATTTATTCTAACTAAAATTAATACATATGAATAATCAATAATAAACTATTAAATTGAAATAAAAACTGCGTACCATTATTGGGATGTAGAGGTAGACGACCTTAACCATGAAATAAATTGTCACTTTTTTTTTTTTTTGTTATTAAGTGTTAGGGATGTTGATGAAATTTTTTGGACTTCATTCATGTACAAATTATATCTTATACGTAACGTTTCAAGTTGTCTCAGAATTCTTACTTTATCGTCATGCAGAACGACTGTTCGAAGACATGAGTGATTGTCTTGTAAAATGCGAATCATTGTGCGACTATTCAAGTTGTCGTCACTAGTCCGATTGTGGGCGATTCAGCGGCTGCAGGCACAGGCCCGACGGCCACCTCTTCGAGAGGTATATTATTTATTTTTTATTTAATGTAACTTCGTTTACTTATAATATTTAAGACTTATGAAGAAATAATTGATTTTTTTTCTATAATTAGGGTTCGTGGTCGTATAGAGACATGACATGAGCAGTAGATCTGATGGTGCAAAGGTCAACATTTACAGCCGGCAACAAATTCTTGTTAATATGAATGAAGAGTTGGCCCACGTTGATGGGGCAGGAGCTGATTTTGATGCATTGGTCTTTGGTCAGGTCTTATGTTTCATGATCATCCTCGTGTCTCTGGAAAGGAACTTCATGGAGTTCATTCTCGCGAGGTTACTCGTGAAGGTCATAGTAGGAAGGAGATGTGGTTCTGTATTGGTGCCATTTCTCACGTTTCTCAGCCCATGGATATGTTGTGGTGACCAGACTTTTGGCCAGTTACTCGAGATTCTTGATTATTGCATTTCCTTATATTAACATGCTTTTGGATTGTTCGTGTTTGACCGAACCAGTGCCTCATCCTCCTCCATCGTCGATTTTATATTCGCAGTATGGTGGCAAACGGGTAAGTATGCAAGAGTTGTGTAAGGACTTCAAGAGTAGGGCGTTTTCGTGGCACTCGTGATGTGATAGAGAGGGTAGCCAAGATGTTGATTTTAATGTACTTCATCTTTGCTCATGAAGACAGTAAACCTCAGTACATAGAACCTTGCTGGTGGGCTTTGTCTGAGGACACCCAAATGTGGGAGTCTTTTTGGGAAAGTTACTCGTTTTAATACATGTTCGAGTAGTTGCAGACGACCCAATACCATAAGATGAAATATCATATCTACAGATTTCACTGGGCGTTTGTGGTATGGTTATATGAGACAATCCATGCATTACGTCGTGCATGTGGATTCTATACCTCCGCGAAAGATCCACCACAACAGGTGCACTGGGAATTGAAGGTCATACTTCCAAACACATTTTTTGACAACGAGGTATTATTTGGATAAATATTTTTACCTTTTATTAAGTTTTGTTTATTTGTCTTTGTTTTTCTTCAGTTATAAAAAAATGTAGTTGGAGGTACATGAGACTCTAGTGCCGAATGAGAAGGAGACTGCCCATTTGGCCCTCGGGAATATTGAGAATCCTCTATTTGTGCGACAACCTAAATCGGCCGCCTTTCGTTGTACGCATAACCCAGCAGCCGACACTGTGCAGCCGAAAAAACAGGCCCGCATTGTCTGAGGAGGTGAGGCTAGTTGAAGAAAGGCTGGGTGTAGAGAGGGCATTACACCAGGAAGAAGTTAGGACTATGATTTGCAAGGAGTTAGCATGCATACAGAATGAGGTGGAGACAAGCATACAACAGATGATTAGGAGTATCATTCAATACGTGGTTAGGAGTATCATTCAATAGAAGGTTAGAAGTATCATTTGAAATGAGTTAGCATTTCCGTCGCAACCACCTCACAAACAGCCACCCCCCAACACCACCAGAGTCCCACCCCCTCTCGTCTTCTCCTACAGTTGCCCACCTATACCACCTAGAGCCTTATCCTCTCCTCTCCTCTCCAATAGTTGTCCACAAACACTTCCCAAAGCCCAATCGACTCCTCTCATCTACAACAACTGCCCCCAACACTACCTAGATCCACATAATCTCATCTTCTCTCTAACAACCGCCCCCAACACCACTCAGAGCTAGGGTTGTAAACGAATCGAATCAAAGCGAATACTCAGAGATTCGATTCGATTTGTTTAAAATATTCGAAGATTCGATTCGTGATTCGATTTGATAACGAATTTATTTTTTGATTCGTATTCGATTCGTTTAGAATATTCGAACATATTCGATTCGATTCGATTCGAAATTCGTTTTCAAAAAAATATTATAATTACAAAAATAAATTTTATTTTTCATATATTTTTAGAAAAATTTGTTAATTTATGATGTTTTTAATTTGTATGTCATAAAAATATTAAGAATATAACAATATATATACATATATTATAAACAAAATGTATATTATATATAATTTGTAAAATTTATATAATTATTGTTAACGAATCGAATATTCGAATTTCGAATCGAATATCTACACATTCGGAATCGAATTCGTTATAATTTCGAATCTAAAACATCATTCGAATTTGAATTCGAATTCGAATATTTCGAATTCGAATCACAAATATCGGATTCGAATCACGAATCGAATATAAAATGTTTGATTTGTTTACAACCCTACTCAAAGCCTCACCCCCTTCTATCCTCTCCAACAGTTGTCCCCCAACACCACCCAAAGCCCAACCCCCCTTCTATCCTCTCCAACAGCTGCCCCCAACACCACCCAGAGCCCCACCCTTCCTCTCTCCTCTAACAATCGCCGCCAATACCACCAAGAGCCCCACCCCCGCTTCCTCTCACCAACAACCGGCCCCAACACCACCTAGAGAGAGCCCCATCCCCACTCCCTCTCACCAACAGCCGCCCCCTAATTGTCTAACCATTATCCCCAGTAGACACGGCTCCTTGAAAGGCCAAAAAGGTCCGTCACCTAGACCCGACTCTTCATGCAAACTCAATTCATGTTAGGAACGACGCGATTGGTGATATGTCAGCCGAGTGGATAATTTTGTTATACTGCTTAATTCAAAATTCAACTCAAATTTAGTTTAATTCAACTCTCTCTAATATTATAAGTATAATTAAATAATATCAATCAACCATCTCCACACATCATACATCAACTTTAGGTTCATTATTTATCTAATCACATATTTTTAACTACTGTTATTCCAATATTATCTCTCACAATAGCTTTAATCATTATATTTTTAAATATTATCTAAATATCAAATCCCACTCAATAATGTTGCTATAAAACGCCAAACTGTATATTGGAGCTGCATATTTTCATTTGCTGCGTGGAACTCTTGGAAAGTAAGAAATGACCGTATCTTCAATTCCCAAACTGTATCGTGCGAAAATAGAAGAATGGAGGTGATGCGAAATATGGAGATGTATGCACAATCTTGTGCTGCCTATAGACGTGTTGGCGTGGATTGCTATACAGTTCGGATGATACATTGGAAACCTCCTGACCCAGGATGGGTAAAGGCTAATACAGATGGCACGTTCGATAACTCCACAGGCCTAAGTGGGGCGGGTGGGTTGATTCGGGACGAACTAGGGAAGTGGATTGAGGGCTTCACAATGAACATTGGTTTCAACACCATTACCGGAGCCGAACTTTGGGGACTCTTTCAGGGCATGCAGATAGCCTGGGACAGAGGATTTCGTCAGGTGATAGTAGAGATTGATAGCCAATCAGTGGCCAAAATGATCAATGGACCGGGTCAGAGCTTTGGCGTCCATGATAACTTAGTTCGCGCCATTAGAGAATTACTTCATAGGGACTGGAATATCCGGATCGTGCATGTTCATCGAGAAGCTAATTACTCGGCGGATCACTTAGCAGGACTCGCGGCTTCGGCGCCGCTGGGCTTACAGCGTTTTTCATCCCCACCCCGAGGATTAGGAGTATGGTTGGATCATGACATTCGCGGGGTGTCGTACCCTCGTCGAGTTTTAGCATAGTTGTCTAGGCCCTCGGCCTCCTTCGTTGTACCAAAAAAAAAAAAATAATGTTGCTATAAAACCAACTAGTTGGTTCCCTTATGGTACCAACACCCAATACTTAAACTTTATTTGAAGTTCACTCACTGTAATCAGATTATTTACAAAAATTCTATGGAGCAATTGGATTGTTTTTTTATGGAACCATCCATTGCTTAATATATTGACACCTGTCCAAATTGTATTTATTGTAAGACTCGTGTCAATACACTATTGGTGAATAAGTGTGGATTGCTCCATAAGCCGAGCCATCCGATTGCTCCATAGCAAACCTGATTTAATTTAATCCAATCAAAAAATGAGAAGGCCTTAAACCCTAGTATTTGAAAACCGCACGAAGAACGAAGGAAAAGCCAATTCTTGCACTTGAGATACAACGATGGCGGTCTCTGTTAGACGAGCCTTAATTCTTTCCAAGAGCTTCCGTTGCGCACTTCGAACAGCCTCTATCAGTTCTCGCCATACCTTCGCTTACATCAACTCCTCATATTTAGGCAATACCCATGAATCTGCTGCTGCTGTTGATAGATTTCTAGCTTCTCCATCGGCGGGTTTTTATCAGTTCAATTCTCGGCGAGGATTCGCCAAAGGGAGGAAGCCACAAATTAGTAATCTCTCTCTCTCTCTCTCTCTCTCTCTCTCTCT